AAACCCTAAACCCCAAACCTATACCCTAAACCCCAAACCGAGTAACGAGGTGTTTTGGGCAGGCCATTGCTCACCAAGGCTGGGTTCGCGGGCGCGCGGATGGCTGTTCCAAATCCTGTAAGCTCAGGTAGAAAATGGCTACCGTCTCTGTGGCTGCGCGCACGGTTTAGGGTTTAGGGTTCAGGGTTCAGGGTTTAGGGTTTAGGGTTTAGGGTCTAGGGTTTGGGGTTTGAAATTGGGGGTTTTGTGTTTAGGGTTTGGGGCTTAGGGCTGTGGGTTTAGGGTTTAGGGACCCTTAAGGCTTGAGGGGTTTGGGGTGTAGGTTTTAGGTTGTGAGTTTTGGGCCGTTCAGGAGCTTAGGTACAAAGTTTGAGAGGCTTTGGCCATTCAAAGGAAAGGTGATGAGTGGGAGTATGCTGCCTGGCGTGCCCTGAAGTAAATTTGCAGGGATGATCCCAATTTACTCAAACCCCAAAGCTTGTATGCTGGGTTCGTGTGTTAGGGATCTCCAGTTTATGGTTTTTTAGAGCGGGCAAACGGATCAGGGGTCGATCCCAGTACCACTATACTAGGGATGAGAATCGCGATGCCTGCCAGGAAATTTCTGACGACAACGACAATGACAGCTGAACTAAGATGAACATGGGCTCAAAATTTTCCCCCAAACTAACAGAGAACCATAAAGGCACTACAAAGGCTAGTGTCCAGGCTAGAAGGGGATTCATCTGGGACGGCAGTCAAGGGCCATTCAGCTGAATTGTGGTTAGGGTTGAGGAGCTTATGGGTTAGGATGCAGGACACGCCCTTGAATGACTGGGAAGATGCTGACTAAGACCCCAACATGGAAGCTCTCCCGAGGTCATAGATGGGGTGATCATGCTAGCGAATCCCTGACAACCTGATGAAGATGTTCTATACGCCCCCATAATCCCTATGTAACTGATGTAGAATCCCTAAATAATCCCCCTATAATCCCCATATAATCACTACATATGCCCTATATAGAACAGATTCCATGACTTTCAGTGATAAAACAGTCCTCAATCAAGTGTCCGAGGTGGAGCGCTTTCAAAGCCCCAAGAGACAGAGTTTCTCGAGATGAGGCACCTCCCCGACGTATTCTGGGCCCCAGTACTTGCTGCTTGTTAGCAGGGGATAAGAGATTATAATCCCTGTAGACTCCCTATATCACATATTCCCATATTCCCCCTTGGTGAGCTCTATCCTGCCTGGGGTGTGGCGGCGAGTCCTTGAAGGAGGGAGCTGGACACACTCCTTAGGTCCTGTAGCCTTGCCGTCTGGGTCTCCACAACTAGGCTGGTAGTATTTCGATGTATGCAAGAGTCCACCAAGTTTTGGAAACATCCATCTACACTACACTACAAAAGCCGCGAAATCTGCCAAAGATGACCCCACCCTTCCGTCCACCTGCTGGGAACTTTGGCTGAGCACGCCACGATTCTTTAATTCCTCCTTGCAGGCGAAGTACTTGGCATTGGCCTGACACATGGTTCCTAACCCTAAACCCTAAACAGTAATCACTAAACCCTAAACAATAACCACTAAAGCCCACTAAACCCTAAACAGTAAGCACCGTTTTGTGGTTTCCGGGCTCCGGGGTTTGAAGCTTCTTTTTCCACAAAGGTGGCAGCTTCCATTTGAGTAGCGTTTTTTGGTGGTTAAGCCCGGTAAGATAATATTCCTTATATAAAATACTATACCCCCAAAGGAGGACATAATCTAAGTCTATATTGGGTACCATAGTATCCCCTTAAAATACTACTCAATTATAGGGAATATCAACGCAGATCCTAAAATACTCTAATCCGTATTGTAGGACCTCCAAAAAAAATGTACTGAGGTGAAAGCTTGGTTTTCGGGGCGCAAGCTTCGGGACATATCTTACAGCCAGTTAGAGGGTTCAGGGTTTAGGTTTTAGAGTGCAGGATCTAGGGCTTAGGATCTATAGGGTAGGATTCAGGGTTTATGGCACGCTGTTCTGGAGATCACGCTGGTGTTTCGAAAGCTGTCGAAAGACTGTGCAGTGACAAAAGCTACTCTTGCTGCGACGTCGGCATTTCCACCCTAAACCCTTGCTACCCCCACAACCCTGAGATCCCGGAGCCCAAAAAAATCAAACCCTAAACCCTATATCTACCAACCCGCATAACCTCAAAACCCACATGGATTCACTTCAACAAACACACATCTAGGGTAGGTTTGGCGCCCTAGGTAAATTGTAATTTTGTATGGTCATATAGGGATTACATAGGGATGAAGGGTACTAGGATTCAGAAAATCATGCCTACCTATGACATCCTAAAGCTGCGAACAAAACCTCAAAGACAATATCTAGGAGTTTCCACGAACAGTGACTAGACCCTAAAGATACTCTGATCCCTAGCATCGGGAGTCCCAAAACAAGGTAGCCCTAATATTTGGTGGAAATCCTCATAAGCCAAGTCATGAGAGCCATTGTCTCAACCCCTAGTATCCCCCTAAGCAACCCCTGCAATGCCCTACAATACTCCCTTGTATAATCCTCTATATACCCCCCTGTAAGGAATAGCATCCCCCTAAGCAACCCCTATAATACTCCTCTATAGAACTTCTACATACCCCCCTGTAACCCCTAGTATCCCCTATATCCCCATGTATTCCCCCGTATAACCCCTTTTAAGGAATCTACTAATACATCCCTAGGACTCCCTATATAATCCTCTATATACCCCCTGTAAGGACTTTACCCTAAACCCTAAACCCGAAACCCTAAACCCTAAACCTGTGGCAGCTCTGCAGGCCTGGGAGAGCTCGATGCCGTACTTCTCACGCTGCTTCTCCAGCTCCATGATGCGCTTCTGGAAGTCTTGGGCATCCTGGCTTTGATTTAGGGTTCAGGGTTTAGGGTTGAGGGTTTAGGGTTCAGGGTTTCGGGTTTAGGGTTGAGGGTTAGGGTTCAGGGTTTAGGGTTGAGGGTTTAGGGGCATCCTGGCATTGACAATGACCGGCCATTAAGCTTTTATGGGTTGGTTTCAGGTCCCTTGAAAGCGTTATAGGAGCTATGTAGGGCTGAAAGTCTTGGGCGTGCTAGGTTTAGTGAAACTACACAAACGATAAAAGCAAAAATGGAAAATGACATGCAACGCGTATCTTACTGTTGCCTCACAAAAAATAAAGGAATATAATAATCCCTAGATAATATACTCCCTTATTCCCTACTAACCCCCCAGTAGCTTATAGGTGGGATATCTCATCACCAACCCTGACGACATCCCTAAACTCAAAAATTCTAAGTCCTAGACACCTACCCTAAAACCCTGGACGCCCCCGACCTCTTTACATCCCAATATAGCCCCAACAAGCTGGTTCGTTTATTATTGGCATATTATTCATTAAAAAAACAGAGCTGCTACTATAGCTCTACATTCCTTATTGAATCTTCGCTTAATGTAAAAACACATCCAACACTGACCCCATACAGTACACCCTAAACATAAACAAATCAATATGAGCCCTTCAAGGGGCGCCCTGGGCAATCCTCTCCCAGACATCCTAAACATTCAGACTCCAGCGGCTCATGCCTAACCCTAAACCCCAAACCCTACATCCTAATCCCCAAACCCTAAACCTTGAACCCCAAATCCTAAACCCTTAAATCCCAAACCCCAATTCTTTCAACTCCAACGGCCCGTTGCAGATGGAAGGCCTGCTTCCATCGCGTGATGTCCTTCTGCATGTTCATCGCTTGGGTCTCCTTGTGCTTAACGGATTTTGGGGGGAGGTGGCGAGGTATCCCCTATGTGTCCTTGTATATTCCTATGTCAACCTTAGGTATTGACCATCAGCCAGCACATTCATAATGCTGCCATTGTATTTTTAGTATGAAATCTAATCCTCTGATGACTACGACTATTACTGCTACTACTTCAGGGCTTTGACGTGCTTCCCCTCGGTGATCTGGGGCTGTCCACTACTTTCTAGGCAGTGAACGGAAATTAAATTCAAAGCTGGGATAACATAAGTGTTTCAAGAACGTAGAGGGGGTGGGTAAAGAAGTACAATAGGGTTTTGAACTAGATTTTACAAAAGATCTTTAAGGCTATAAAGGAAAACAATCTTTACAACCATTCATGCTTCGAGGACATCAGCGGATTAGTACGGTCACCGCAGGGCTCTGTAACTGTTGATACACGTAGGACACGCCTTTGCCATTTAGGGATGGCCCAGAAGGGCTATTAACGAGGGGGATTTTGGAAACCCCAACCCCGAAACAAGGACAGTGGGAATCTCGTTAATCNNCATTCATGCGCGTCACTGCTTAGATAGGGTCCTTATTCTAGGGGATGGGACTACCAAAACCCTTTTATTACCATATAAGCCCGAACCCCACAGTTGTATCCCTTTACCGAAGGGCCTGGCGCTTCACCAAATCGATCTGCTTTTTTGTTCGCTCATCCGCCTGGGGATCTGATCGTGATTTGCCGTCAGGGCAAAGGACGCAGGGCTTAAGACGCAAAGCATGTATGGTTGTCGGCAGTGAGGACTTGGGGCCACTAACCATGGAGAATCAAATGCAAACCACTATATTTTTTAGAGCTTAACATCTAGGGCTTAGAGTGTAGCATTTAGGGATTCTGTTCATGGTTCCGGGCTTGGATTTGCGGTTTGGGGCTTTAGGGTTTGGGGTCCAGAGTTCCCAGCCAGGTGCAAACCGTGCTGACCTTGTATGCGTGGCGCCCGGACAACCCAAGACTCTTTTTGCACTCGGACGGGTTGAACGACACCTTGGGAAAGAAGCCCTTAAGCATGCGCTGATAATCCCACGTCCTACTGTGTTCCAAATGCTTGTTTCCATACATGGCTATATTTAAGTATGTATATATTATAAGCCTGGTCATGCGGACCCCCCCAACATGCAATTCCCAGCTTTGGGAACCGCAATTTGCGAATCAGAGGCCAGCGCCCAAGACCTGCAAATCCTAGGTATGGAACATGCAAATCATTGGGGTATATGGTTTTAGGACTTTAGGAATAAGGGTTTCGGGAGGCAGTCTCTGCTTAGAGGTC